CGAGAGCCAATCGATAAGACGACGGCCGCACATGAACTTCCCAATGGCAAACAAAAACGCGTTTCATGCCGCATGACCAGGTGCTTTACGATCACCTACAGAGCGATGGGGAAAGCACGAATGGCGGCCCGCATCTGGATGCCCGTGGTCTCGCCGGTTGGGTGCCGTTCGTTGAAGCGGCCCCGGCCATCTACAAGATCGAGAGGCGGACGTCGGGTTTTTGAGTTGAATGCTTGACTGCGAATCATCACGAGCATGGGTGCTTATACCGATACCCATGTGTTGGAGGGGTAGCGCAGTGAGGGGCAATGTGACGGCAAAAGATACCGATTCTGACCGAAGACTGCTTACAGGGTGTGTGGTAGAGTATGCTCGTTTTGAGTGTCGTCGCGAAGGGCGGCAGTGCTACGATTATGTTGTCGACATCATGGCCTCTTGGATAACACGAGCATTGGGACGTTCATCTAAGCGTTGAGGATATCTGCACCGCACCTTACACCAGCATCAGACGTTGGCCTCGACTCTCGTCTTTTTCTGTTGTGAAGCACCGCGCTGAGCAGCCTCACCTCGCTCTAAGAACGCTCAGACAACCATCACCACCTAACGCGTTCTCACCGCGATCCGCTCAAGAGCAACGTCATCGTCACGATACAGCAATTTAACAGCTTCTCTAACCACTCTGCAAGCCTACTTCTTCTTCACCTCCCTGACTCGACCCTCAAAAGTCGCTGCCATAAATACTGGCCCTCCGCCCTCTCCCCCCCTTCCTCGCCGCGGTATCCGAAGCTTCAACGTCGGAACACGGCAAACCCCCAATACCAAGAGATTCCAATAGTGCTTGTTCATGCGCTTGCTTGGTGGTTTTACGCGCGTCAAGCTACCCATAATCTGCACTTGTCCCACGTTTATCATCATCGGACGGACCAAAAGCCACGTCAGATCGCTCACCTACGAGAACCAGTTCGTTGCCGCACGGCCGTTGTCCAACGTCGACCTTTCCCGAAGCGGTTGGTGAAACGAACACCCTCATATCGGACGGTTTGATTGAAGCCCATCATCGTCGAGACCGTTTGCTCTACGTTCGGGCATTCCTTCAGTCCGCTTGGGTAGAAAAGGGATTGGCTTTCCTTGAACCTTTTTGGTTTCTTGAGTTTGAGTTCCGCTTTACTGGACGGCAGCAGCAGAGACTTTCACGATGATGGCGGAAGGTTATGTCACGTTTGCCTCGGTGGATGAAGCGGCGGACGAGAGCAGCGCTTTCCGCGAACCTTCGACGGTGCCCACGACTCCGGACGGGAGCTGCACGTTTAGCCCCGTGCTCAGGTACGCACACGAGGCGGACTGCGATGAAAGCGTCGACGGGGAGAGGTTTACCGCGTTGGAGAACAAAGGAATCGAAGGAAGACCCGGTCTGAGCAGCACCACACAGAACCCCGTCCGCAACATCTGCTGCGTGGGAGCGGGATACGTCGGTGAGACTCCCTCAAAACCTTCACGAGTCTCAGTCATCACTAACATTCTTCTCAGGCGGGCCAACAGCCGCAGTCATCGCGTTCCAAAACCCGCACATCCGCGTCACCGTCGTCGACCGTGACGAACGGCGCATCCGCCGGTGGAACTCCAAACACCCGCCCATCTACGAGCCCGGCCTGCGGGACATTGTGAGAATCGCCAGGGACGGCGCGAGGGAATGCGCCTTTCCCACCGAGCCCACTGCCAAGAACACCAGCACCACCGCCGCCTCGTCAGCGACGTCCGAGTGCGGGAGCCAGTGCGGCGGCGACGATGGCCCCCTGACCGCCGTCCCCGCGCGCGCGCCGAACCTCTTCTTCACGACGCGTGTCTCAGAGTGCATAGCGCAGGCCGACATCATCCTCGTGGCCGTGAACACGCCCACCAAGACCCGCGGCCACGGCGCGGGCAGCGCGACTGACATGACGGCGTTCGAGGCCGTAACCGCCGAGGTCGCGCGGCACGCGAGACCGGGCGCAATCGTGGTTGAGAAATCGACCGTGCCGTGCCGCACCGCGCACCTCGTCCGCGAGACGCTCGCCGTCCACCGCCCCGGGGTGCACTTTGAGATACTCTCCAACCCGGAGTTCCTCGCGGCCGGGACCGCCGTGAACGACCTTCTCCGGCCGGACCGCGTGCTCATCGGCTCCGAGACGACACCCTCGGGCAAGCGCGCGGCGGCGGCTTTGGCGGGCGTCTACGCTGCCTGGGTGCCGCGCGCGCGCATCCTGACGACGAACGTGTGGTCGTCCGAGCTGGCGAAGCTCGTGGCGAACTCGATGCTCGCGCAGCGGATCAGCAGCATCAACTCCATCAGCGCCATCTGCGAGCGCACCGGCGCGGACGTGGACGAAGTTGCGCGCTCAGTGGGCTGCGACCCGCGCATCGGCGACCGCTTCCTCAAGGCGGGCATCGGGTTCGGGGGCAGCTGCTTCAAGAAGGACATCCTGAGCTTGGTGTACCTCGCCGAGAGTTTGGATTTGGACGAGGTCGCGGAGTACTGGTTGCAGGTGGTCAAGATGAACGAGTACGCGCGGGAGCGCTTCACGCGGCGGGTGGTCAAGTGTCTGAACAACACGCTGGCGGGGAAGAAGATCACGGTGCTGGGGTACGCGTTCAAGAAGAACACGAGCGATACGCGGGAGGCGCCGGCGCTGGAGATCATACGGGCGCTGCTGGAGGAGGGGCCGAGGGAGATTGCGGTGTTTGACCCGTGCTGCAACCCGCTGGTCATCAAGGAGGAGATCAGGCAGTTGTGCGGGGAGGTGAAGCCGCTCAGGGAGGACGGCGGGCCGTTGGCTATCTACGGGGATGCGTATGAGGCGTGCGAGGGGAGTATGGCGGTGCTCATCACGACCGAGTTTGACGAGTTCCGGAACAAGGCGCCGGCGCCGAGCACCGCGCCCCCGACGGCCAAGGTCCAGCAGCAGCGGGATGATGTTGACCCGCGGCCGTTCCAGAGCCTCGAAGTCGCGCAGTCGGACGTGCTGGCGCTGCACAGGTTCCTCAGCCGGCGGCAGTCTTCAGACGACCCGCTGGGGCGTTACGAGGCAGAGCCCGAGTGTGCGTCCGACTGCCCGGACTGCGAGGCGGAAGCGGCCAGCGAGGTGTCGGGGTTTGCCACGGGGATGGGCACGACGGAGGAGTACAGGACCAAGGAGAAGGTGGACTGGGCTAGGGTGGCGAGGAACATGCAAATCCCGAGGTGGGTGTTTGACGGGCGGGGAGTGATTGATGCTGGGGAGATGGCGAAGTTGGGCGTGAGGGTGGAGAGTGTTGGGCGGCAGGGACGATCGTGAAGTTGACCGTGCTCTGTAATCGTGAATCTGGGGCATTTTTGTTTTCTTTTCTCGTCATTTTCTCATCATATACCATCGTCGTGCGGGATAATGGGCCACTCTGGAACCGGTGGCGGAGGAGACGGGACGGACTTAGCATCGTAGAGTTTAGAGACAACTTTCACAAACAGAACTTGAGTCGAGACACGAAAACCATACAGAACAGCGACCGACAGGAAAGTGTGAGAGCGTGCCGGGGGCGGAAGTCGCCGCCGGCACATGGCGACTTGCATCCGCAGTCTGATGCATGCTCTGCATCCATCCTCTGCACACAATTTCATCCCGTCCCCTGGTACCTGTTTCACGCTACCACGACAGACTTCTCCGACCAAACGAAGGAACCAGTCATATCCGGGCCCCAGGTTCGTCTGAGGATGTGGCCAGTTGGAATTGAGACCTCGGGGGGAGGGAAGAGGGAGGGAGGGTTAATATGTGTAGGGCTAGGCGGATCGGCGGCGGCGGCGGTGATCAGTCTTTGAAGATCCAAGATTTGTTGTTCGGGATCATCACCGCGCGTTGGGCGAGGTTGAAGTAGGAACCGGAGAATTAACACAACACACATATGACTTTATCGTGGATTTTCTCCCCAGAATAAGATCGTTTCGCCCCATAGGAACAACCCAAAATCCTCCGCATATTTCGTCATCGCGGCAGGGACCCCGGAACGCCGCATGCAGCAGTCAAGCAATGCATCAACCACCATCTCCACCTCCTATCAGCCTTTGAGACAGAACAGCGACCGTTGTTCTCGCGTCAGCCCAGTGCCGATACCAATCATGGGGACCCCCTCCGTCTGGAGAGACTGTGGGCCAACGGCCGCGGTGCAATGCGATTGGGGAGAGTCGGGGATCAGCGTTTGGTCTGTTCGCGCCGTTTCACGTCGCAATCAGCCAGCTGCCCGGCGACGCTAAGCCTCAGATTGTTTAAAGTGTGTGTGGGATCATGGTATGTAGTATGTGGTATGAGTAGTAAGGTAGGCAGGGAGTAGTAGCCTTTACCGTCCAGCCGGCCAGGAACCCAGAACCGACGATGATGGTTTTAGTGTTGTTGGCTCCCCCCTTTCCGAGACGTGTAAGACGAATCGTTCGAACCGAATGTGGTATCTGGCTGTAAGGATGGGCTGGCTTACCCGTGCTTCCGAGCTGGGAGGGTTTTGGTCAGAAGTGACAGGCAGTGTGTGTGTTTCTGGCGCCCCCAATGGCGACTTGCCTCACACCTCCCTCACGCATTTGTCAGTTTGGGGGAGGCGATAGGAGGTTTGGCTTTCCGTCCAACCTTTTAGCGTTCAAGGGGAGACTTCGTTTCATCTGCTCTGCCGTGCGGCGGGAGGACATGCAGCCCTGGGGCATGAGGACATGAGAGAGAGGGACAGCATGAAGGAGGGAGCAAGAGGCTGCAGAGCTGTCTGATATAGGTCTCGTCTTGGTGTACGTCGTCCTTTCGTCGGGCATAGCGACCTCTTCCTCCTTTGGACCAGACGATGAGCGGATGATAATTCTGTTTTCCACGACGACGGTTTGTTGACGTTGGGCGATCGATACACTCTAGACCGAGTCCCTGGGGCGACTTGGACATCACATCGCCGAGTAATCTCACTAATACCACCTTGACGGGCTGTTGGAATTTGTGTCTTTGGGAAAAGCAGAGAGAATGAGGGGAACAGACGCCTCAGTGCTGGTCCTCACGGGCCTGGCCGCCCTGGCCGGGGCGAAGGAGCTCCAGATCGATGACGTGCCGGTGGAATGCGCGACGATATGCGGGCCCATCGTCGAGCTGACCTTCAAGTGCGACGTCGACAACTCCTTCGACGAGCTGCGGCGGCTGAAGCGGCGAAAGGTCGACGGCCCCGAGGCGCAGAGGATACCGCCGCACGCGAAAGGGGGCGTGGCACGACGACACCACCACCGCAACAGGCCGCCCGCCCAGAACGAGGCCGATGTCGCGGTGGCCACGCCGACGCAGCCGCAGGACGCGGTTCCGTCGGTTGGTGATGCGCAGGGCGTGCAGCAGCCGGCGCAAGACGCCCAGCCGCCTGCGCAGGAGGCGTCGCCGGTGTTTATCGCGACGCTGCCGTTTGCTGCGCCCGCGCCGGATCCGCAGCTTTCGACGCCTAATCCGCCACCGGAGGCCGCGCAGACGACGCCGTCGGTGGAGGCTACGCCGCAAGTGACGCCTACGCCGTCTTCAGATCCGCCGCAGGCCTCGTCGACGTCTTCGTCAACACCAGCGGCGCCTCCGCCTCCTCCTCCTCCGCCGCCGGTGATACCTCCCCCGGCACCAGCTCCGCCGCCGCCTCCTCCGAAAGTGACGCAGCCGTTGATCGTGCCCGTCTTCGTACAGCCGACATCGACTGTCTTCCTGACGGTACCGGCTCCGTCACTACCCCCTATCCCACAAGTGACCATCCCGGCACCCCTCCTCCCCTCGATACCCCCGATATCCATCCCACCTCTCGTGGTAGCTCCTCCTCCCCAGCAACCACGGCCACAGCAACCTCCTCCAGCGCAGCATCCGCCTCCAGCCCAGGCACCGCAGGTCCCGGCGCCGCAGCAGTCGACACCCTCGGCGTCGATGAGCATGCCGTCCGCGATGCCAGTCGCTGGCGAGCCGGGCAAGAAGGAGCCCCAGCCGAACCCGGAGACGGACAAGGACACGGCCGAGAAGAACTGCATCTGCGGGAACAAGAGCTTCGACGTGAACCTGTTGGCGGGGATGTGCCAGAGCTGCATAAAGCGGTCGGGGAACCGGGCGAATGGTGAGTTGCCTTTTCCCTCATGATGGGAATGCCCTTAGACGCAATGCATGTGATACTGACTGGCTGCAGATATGGACTTCATCATGAACCAGTGCAACTTCACCCAGGCGACGTACACACCCGACAAGGACAACCTGGCGTACAACATCCGTGTTGTCGCGCAAAAGCCGTTGCTCTCGCATAGTGCCAACGCCATGGGCGACGCGCCCAGAATCGGAGCTGCCTCCGCGTTGGCGGCGATCGGCGTTAGTTTTGTAGCAGGGATGGCGCTGTTGCTGTAAGCTTACAAAGAAGGTTTGGCGGAGGTAATGAACTGGTGAAACGCGGGACGTAATGGGAGGAAGTAATAATAGCCGGAGGACACGTCGAGGTAATAATGAGAGGGAGAGGAGTTGGAGGCGAGCGATGAACTGGATGATTTAGCGGCAGGGCGGCGAAACGGAGTAGAAAAATCTAGATGATGGTTCTAGATGTTTTGTTTTTTGAATCTCAGGTGGGCTCTTTTAGCCAATCCGGTAGATGACTACCAATTATTCATCCAACTGTCCCTTTGCTTCATTTTCAAATTAACGTGCTCATGGCACCATCTCTTACCTATGCTTTGGTCGTCACTGTCAATTGTAGTTGCTCAGGTCATATAAAAGACCTTCTAAGTGCATAGTTTGGGAAGTTGGGGAGCCGTAAAGTAGAGCACAAAAGTGTCCATAGACATTTTGTTTTATTACTGGGAATCTATCGCCGCAATCAAGCTGGCCCTTTTATGATTCTATCCCCTAACATGGTATAATATGCACGAAACTCTGAAATCATTAACTCGTCATTCTCTTGAGCTTTTCTTGGTTTAGATGCGCTCAACCCAGGCATCAGTGTTCTTCTTCTCCTCCACGACAACGGTGCCATCGACGTCTCTCTCAACAGGAGGGTAGTCGGCCTCCTTGACGCGCATAACGTGGCGGCCGTGGCGGAGCCAGTGCATGGTGACGTATCCCAGAACGTAGACGAAGCCGACGAGAGGCACGACGTACGAGATGCGCGTGCTGGAGTGGTCGGCGATGGCGGCCTGGATGGGGGGGAAGACGGCACCACCGGCGACACCCTGGACCATGATACCGGCGGCGCGGCGGGTGTGGCGGCCGAGGTTGGCCGTGCCGAGGGTGAAGAGGGTCGGGTACATGGGGGCCTCGAAGAAGAAGATGACGATGAGGACGGCGACGGCGGAGGTGCCGCGGCCGACGCAGCAGTACGCGGTCAGGGCGATGGCGCAGACGGTGTAGATGATCATGAGGAAGTCGGACTGGAAGACGGTGGCGAGGGCGGTGGCGATGAAGCGGCCGACGGTGAAGGTGATGAGGGCGTAGGACAGCATGTTGGCGGCCTGGGAGTCTGTGAAGCCGCCGTTCTCGTGGGCATAGTTGATGAAGAGGGTGGCGATGGAGACCTGGCAGCCGACGTAGCAGAACTGCGCGAGGAAGGCGAAGATGAGGTTGTACTGCTTGTAGATGGGGCCCTGGCCGACGTCCTGGCCGGGCATGGCGTCGGCGGACGGACCGGAGTCCTCGATGGTCTGCTCCGAGACCTCGGGCAGGCGGGCGAAGAAGAAGAGCACGGCGACGGCGGCGCCGGCGCAGGAGACGGCGAGGTAGACGTACTGGACGTTGGTCAGGGAGTTTGCGTTGGCGCCGGAGAAGAAGAACTTGGAGGCGATGAGCGGGCCGATGAAGGAGGCGACGCCGTTCCAGGACTGGCAGAACTGCAGGCGGGCGGAGGCGGACTCGGGCTTGCCGATGACGACGGCGTACGAGTTGGCGGCGGTCTCGAGGGTCGCGAGGCCGCAGGCGATGACGAGGGTGCAGGCGCAGAAGCCGCCGAAGACTGCGCGGGTGTTTGTGGTCTGCGTGGAGGCGTGGGCGACGGGCCAGAAGAGGATGGCGCCGAGGGAGTAGAGGCCGAGACCCATGAGGATGGTCTGCTTGTAGCCGCGGCGCTTGAGGCACTCGGCCGCGATGGGGGAGAAGAGGAGGTAGCCGCCGCCGAAGTACATGACCTGCAGGCCCGTGGACTCGAGCTTGGAGATGCCGAGGACGGTCTGGAAGTGCTTGTTGAGGACATCGAGGAGGCCGTAGGAGAAGCCCCAGAGGAAGAAGAGGGAGATGATGAGGGAGAGAGGGAAGACGAGGGCGCGGCCGGTGAGGTAGCCGCCGGCCAGCGCGGGAGCGGCTGATGGGATGCCGCCGCCTGCCATTGTGATGATGGTCTTGGTGGTGGTGTTTGAAGGAAGCGAAGAGTGGGATGTTTGGGTATAAGTGCTTCCTGAGCTGAGATGGACCACCGGGATGTGTATGGAGAAGAGGCTTCCTGAGCTGCGGATGATGACAAGAAACATAAACCCTAGATGTCCGGGGAAGAGACCCCCTTTTATCCAAAGTGCTCCATGGCGAACCGTGATGTTCATCCCCATGGAGAAGATGGACCGCCCCCGTTGAGCCCCAACCATCCACCCCCAGGTTACCTCCCCATGGTCTGTGGCCGGTGGGCTTGGATCACCTCTAGATCCGGCGTCGCCCTTGGCCCGTCGATGTTTGACGTGGGAGGCCAGGACCAGGGCCGGGGCCGAGACATGGCACTAGATGAAAGCACCTGAACCGATGCCACGGAACGTGTCAATGGCGCTAGTCCTGCCCAGCCTGTCGAGCTCGCATGCCGTGAAGAGAGAGATAGCGCGGCAGGGGGTGATGAGGTTGACTGATGGGTTTAGCGAGCAAAGGAGACAAGTGCGCCGTCTTGGGTGTGAGTGCCACGCAGACGGGAAGAACGCCGTCTTAGACAACCCGCCCACAATACGGCCGGGCGCGCATTTCCTCGCTGATTCTCGCGGCGACACCAACCCAAAACCCCATGGGCAGCGAGAATGGAGAAGTGGTGCGGGGGAGCGAAAGGGGACAAGCGCTGAGCTTGGCCGTCGCTCTTCAGGACGGCTACGGGGTCTGCCAAGGATGTCTTGATCCAATCATGCGAATGGAAGAGGTGTGCTGCCGGTGAAGCTATACTGAGAAAAGTAAGCCGCTAGAAGCTTGTTGGAACGTGGCTGGAAAATTGCCCGTAGCAAGCCATCTCGGTGCGATCCCTGCTTGGCGCGCCGGTAGTTTGACCGAGTTGATCTCCTAGTCGTCTGTCGAGAATGCTTGGCTTCGCGATAGCGTCAGATGCGCGAGATATTGATCGATCGTTTGAGCGCGGCAGTCACTGACGAGAGACTACGGCCGTGTCCTATTCCATCTCGGATCGTGACTATGGACATGCTCCCAGAGACTTGGGCGCCGTCGACGGTAGACTCACTGGCGCGGCCCCTAGCATGATGCTTGCCCCGCCTCCCTGTTGACAGTTTTGATTGAGCGTGCTCATCTGGAGCGAGCCTCCACAGCTTCATCTCACCGACCCCATCGCACGGCTGGGGAACCCCATGGGCAGGACATGGTGGTGGACTTCCTACGCGAGCATGTTCAGATATCCCTCAAACCCTGGTCAGAGTCGGGCGTTCAAGCCAAGTGTTGTTGGTGCCACTCATTTCCTGCCAAGCTGATGAGCGTTGGATTACCAGAGGAGCCTGCTGGGGGGCCAAGACATTCGCCATTTGATAGAGGCAAAACCCTATCAGACTCTCTTGGCCGTTTCTTTGATGCTCACATGACCGTCAGAGCTGAAGTCGGCGTCCGCGACCCTCAATAAAAGAGTCACGATCCACTGCAGAACCATCCGTAGCGACCCCGTATTCTGCTCCCCAGATTCAGTCTGGAGCCGTCTGGATCTCTTCTCCGCAACATTCAGCGTTTGGGGGCTCTCTTCCCCAGCCCGCCCCAGCTTCGTCGTTTAAAGTCGCCCCGCCAGAACGGGCCTGGCCATGGATGAATGGAGGCGTCCAGACCTGCAGTCGCCGTTAGCGTTACAGAGGCGATCCACTTGATCGGGCCGTTACCAGGAGCCAAACCTCGCCAAGTTGGCGCTGGTTCAGTGTTTATTGGCCTGACTCGCGCTGGGATGCGGCCGCGTACGCGCCGCAGGCAGCTTCTGCTTGCTCACAGTGACCATGGTTATGGTGTTGCGAAGACTTCATGTTGGCAGATTGCTGTGCATCGCCGTTTGCTGCATAAGTCGGCTCAACACTTCACATCGTCCACGGCCGAAGCATGGGCCATCCCGTTCTCAGGAGACAGAGTTGGGTTGAACTGGGCCGCAACGAGAAGTGCGAGCTTCTCGCATCAGAGTTTTGGTCACGACGGCGGCTAATCTAACCCCAGTCTCCAAACAAGAGAGCGGCTTGCACCTGCTCAAATTGGCCTCCATCTTTCATGCCCGAGACCACGTGAGCGTGTACGGTGATTGTCCATGTCGGAGGTCGATGGTTGCCCCTTGCGCGTGACATGCCGGCGAACCGTCCCCTGCATCGGAAGATGCAGCGTGAGCCGCAGAACACACGTTGACAGCGCGCGAGAAGACAGCCCTCTCCTTGTTCTCTCCCCTGCGATGGTTCCAATAGTTTAATGATCCGAGGACTCGGGACAAACCATGCGACGCACGTGTCTCAATTTGAGCAAGACGTCGCGCTAGCGAGGAACTCCTGAAAGCTGATTGAAGACATCGAGCAGCGAAGAACCGGCTTCGGAGGTGAGACGATGTCGTTCTGGCGCTCGGTGCTGCTGGACGTGTCGTCCATCATCTGTGATGTTCACGATGGCGACACCCGTGTGGCTGGGTCGGATGCTGACTTGGGCGCCCTTGATGGCACGGTGTCATCAGAGCTGCCAATTCGATCTGATTTGTAGATGCAGGTCTGAGCCTCATTGCTGCAATTATAAGGTCCTCGTCACCCACGCATCGGCTCAGTATGCATGTGACGACAATGGTCGACATGAATGTTGAATTGGGGGCCGAGAGCATGCCTGAGCAACGCTTACGTGAGTCATCGCGGGCTGTTACCTCCATCGCTTTTCTCTGAGCCGTACGTCCTCGGATTGCAATTCAACACATTCAGAGCATCGCAGACTGCATGATTATTCTCATCCCGAATTGCTGTCTGTGACGTGGACTTGGTCCTGCTGTGTACTTGAGGCCGTCAGTCAGTGAGCATGCGTCAGTTGCGAAGTCAACAGCCAGTTTTGCCCAGAGGCTTGCTCCGTGGCCCAAGCAGCGGTTCTCGTCGTCAGAGTGGTGGAGTTCTTGTGCCACATGAATACTAGACTTGGATCGCACGATAACATCGAGAGAAAACATGAATACCTCAGCCAGATGACAATATTCACGTCAACTACGCCGGCGAAGTCAGTCTGACCGTCGGAGGAAGTTGGGTCCGATCTGCTGCTCTTAAAGAAACAGACGAAGAATCTGTTTTGAACATGCATGCTGCAGATGGTCAGCAAATTTCGGTGTTAATCGGTGTTTACGGATGGCTGCAAAGACGCGAAAGCATTCGGAAGCCTAGTGCGCTGAAATAACGGCTTTGGGAGGCCTTTTGCCTGTCAGATTCCCACTGAAGCGGGCGGCGCGGCCGCTGTGGCAGACATGGTGCTGACGCTCTTCTCTTCAGCCACAGGAATGAGAGCAACAGGATGGTGAGAAATTCACCCGCTAAATAGCATCATGTGAACTCGATTTAGGCCGGAATCTGAGGCTGTTGATTGGGACAAGAACCCGGAAGAGTCCTGCACAATGTATTGGCCCGGCTCCGGTGAACAGCACCGCATGAGAGCGGGCAATGCCGGGCTCTCAGAGGTGATACTGCTAACTCCGGCGCCGTTACGTCCACTGACGCCTGCGGCGGCTTACGGGGCGGCAGTGGGGACGAAATGCCCGCTCCTTGGTGACCATTCTCCGCTGCGAGCGGACAATGCGGCCGCTTCTCGTTGCTGACGCCGGGTTTAAAAGACATTCAACAACCCAGCCGTTTTGCAAATAGGTCAAGATTTGTGATTCAAGATCTCAAGACACTCACACAGTAATACCACCTGCTCATCCTCTTCACGATGCATCTCATCCTCACCGGCGCAACTGGCCTGGTCGGCTCGTCCGTCCTGGACGCCATGATCAAGATGAAGGACGTCACCAAGATCTCCATCCTCAGCAGGAGACCGATACCCATGGTAGACGATGCCAAAGACCCCCGGATCAATGTCATCATCCACAGAGACTTTGACAAGTACGAGCCCGACGTGCTCGACAAGTTGAGAGGCGCAAACGGCGTCGTCTGGGCGCTGGGCATTAGCCAGAACAAGGTCACCAAGGAGTAAGCTGACTCCTCCTCTGCACGTCAGAAAATACTGGTTCTAACACAGCATCCGTAGGGAATACATCAAGATCACAAAAGACTACACACTCGCAGCGGCAAAGGCCTTCGCGGAGCTACCGCCAAACAACGAGCCCTTCCGCTTCGTTTACGTCTCCGGCGAGGGCGCCACCCAGAAGCCCGGCATGTTCAGCGCCATCTTCGCCCGCGTCAAGGGCGAGACCGAGACGCTCCTCTCCGAGATGCGCGCCGCGAACCCCCGGCTGCAGGCCGAGTCCATCCGCCCGGCCTTTGTGGACGCCCAGAAGCACACGGCCATCAAGCAGTACATCCCGGATCCCGGCATGGTGTACAACGCAGCCAACGTGATGATTGGCCCGCTGACGAGGGCGCTGGTGCCGTCATTTGTGAGCCCGACCGAGTACCTGGGCAAGTTCATGACGGAGATGGCGATGGGGAAGCATGATGCGAGCTTGGCGGCTGGAGGACAGGGGATCATCACGCTGAATGGGGGGTTGCGGATTGTTGAGAACATCGGCTTCAGGAGGTTAGCGGGGCTGTCGCCTAAAGATGCGCAGGGCGTCAAGGTGCCCGCTGCATAGATGCTCATACGAGTTGTACGATTGTGTAAAGATAGATGGAATTGTTTCAGCGAAATATCAGCGGTTTACGATGCATATTCTTCTTTGCCTTGAAAAGTTACAGGCTTTCCAGGTTCGTCACTTGGGGCCCAGGCATCAGCATCCAGCAGACAGATGTGCGGGTCCCCGTGCGCTAGGCTACATAGTGACCAAAATTGGCCACCCTGCCAATCACGACGCATTCGGTCCCCTAGGGATTGCACAGCCGACGTCGGCTCAATGGTCTAGTGGTATGATTCGCCCTTCGGGTCTTACAACCCTTGCGCACAGCGTGAAAATGGGCGAGGTCTCGGGTTCGATCCCCGATTGAGCCCCATGAATGTCTTTTTGTCTTGATTTGTGATGTGAACGAATTTCTTTTTACACTGTTGCAGTTAAAGATCAATTTCCAGCTGCTGTGATGCGATGCCTAGGCTTATTTGAAACGTCTGGTTTATCTTAGATGGATGAGTTTATTGTATGTAAATAAATAGCCCTGATGCATTTCTCTGTTTGAATGAGAGCCTCTCCTTGAAGTCCTCCCTGTTGAATCACGTTGTATGAATAGGTGATGCTCCTCTTCTTATACGTTAGTGTCTTCTCGCCTAAAACCCTGTTGTCCTTCTTTCATTTGAATGCTTGCCGCTTGCTGATATTCTGCCGCCCACGTCCTGTCCACCTCACTGATTCACTCCAAGCTGATTGTACTCCATTGGCCGGGAGTCTCCGTCGTGTCCCGAGAATCATCTCTTGCCTCGTTTTGTGTGTCGAGATCGTCCTGCTGAAGGAAGGTGTGATACTCCGGCGGAGGACTGCCAAGCAACGGCGCCGTCTCGGGATCTATGAATGAGTACGCAGGCAGCGGCTCGAAGGACGAAAGCGACGAGAGCGACGATCTTGATGAGGCGACGCGGCGGAGCTCTAGGTATCTTTGTCTAACCTCCCATGAGTGCACGAGCATGCCGATGAAGATTTGCATGACCACGAGAAACATGACCATCGCACATGCCACCACGAAGGGCACCAGGAAGTCGTTCACGGCTAGGTCTGGATCTTCGCTGTCGTTATGGCGATGCTGTGGTGGGATTGGAATATACATGGTGTCGGTCGTTGGTGCTGTTGTTTTCGTCGCCGTCCGTCGTCGTAGTTGTTATTGTTGTCCACCGATGTTGCACGTCGTCTTCGTCGTAGTATGTGCTATTGTACTTTGTGCTTGGCTCGTTTCTTGAAACGCTTCACTAATTACGCGTTGTTGAGTTGGCGGATAATGGTAGATGATAGCGAGCCGCTTTAGAAGCTGAAGGTTCGTTCAATTATACGTGTGGGAGGTTTCGGAGTTGTGTGGTGAGTAAATGCAGCAAGGCTGAACAGTTTTGCCAGCGCAAATTCTTCTACAGAAATGTCTAGTTTGTAACTTTTAATCCCCTCTATTATGGGGTTTTGTTGTGTCCTGGCCAGTCCCAGACATCACGGTCTGTGTATGAGTGCGGATGAACCTCTTTGGCAGCCCACGTTGGCACTCGATCAGGTTGCCAGTCAATGTACATGTATCAGACGGTCCCAGTTGCCTTCCTCTGCCTTAATCCACAAGATCTTTTGAACCGGAAGGGTTACGTGAATTATATTATCACCCACCTTTGGTCGCACTCGAAATTCTGCTCACATATTAGGATATCGTATTTCACATAGAAACTCAGACAGACATTGATGGTATTAGATGCGTACTAATTCCATCCAGGAAATACCACTTCATTCCCAACAAACTCAGTAAATAGAAATCATGCTCTATCGTCTCTTGTCTGGACCCGAAGTTCTAACTCATTTCAAGCAACATGATTTGTATATACATAGTTTCCGTGGGGATTGGAAACTTGTTATTAATAGTGTGTTGTAGATTGAGACCCGGCGGTGTACCACATCGGCAACCTCATGCACCAACACACAACTTCGTTGAATTGAAGCTTTGTTCGGTCTACGACAATCAAAGAAGTTGGCGCACTGCGTTATTCGACATCAATTCTGGAGCTGTTCAGCTCTCAAAGATGGGCCCGGTAGCGTAGTCCACCCGCAGCCTGCCGGTGGGATAGCCACGCCGCTGTGGTTGGTGACTACCGGCATTCGGCAGTCGGCAATCGAGGCGCCACGATGAAATCCGCAAACTTCTCACCAACCAACCTTGCAATTATGCCACATGCGAAAGCTTGAAAACTTCCTTTTCTATGTCGGACACATCGCAGTCATATTTTAATCCGCAAATCTTCTTCTTGGCCTCCTTTCACGGATAATAGTTCGCCTCACTGTGCGGTATCCAAATCCACCCTGCGCCTGCTACTCCAAAATCAACTCTGGAAAACTCCACCAAACTCCAGGATGGGTAGCAATTTGATCGAGTTCATATCCACGGGCAAAGTGAGGATGCGAGAGCCTATGAGCGGGCAGCCCATCACCAACAAAAGCACCACTCTCCGCCTTCTGCGCTGTTTCACGGGCGAGTGGACGCCGTGGCTCCCCATCGGCGTGTTCCTCATCAGACATGCCGACGGCCCTATCCTTATCGACACGGGCGCCTCACCCCAGTGTATGCAGGCGGGATACTTCCCAATGTTGAGCTACCTCACCACCGTGCTCAGCGAGCTCCAGCTGGCGCCAGAAGACGGCATCGTCAGCCAGCTTGCAAAGCTCGGCGTGAAGCCGACGGACCTGCAAGCCGTCGTTCTGACGCACCTGCATCACGACCACGCAGGCGGCCTAGAGGAGATCGTCGAAGCTGCCCCGGAGGTGCCGGTGTACATCAGCGCGAGCCACTGGGACGCCTTCGGAAAGCACCCGACGTACGCGGCCGTTCAAGGCTGTGCGTCCAACCACTGGCCGAAGGATTTCAATCTGCGGCTGCTGAACTTTGACGGAAAACCTGTCGGTCCCTGGACACAGTCAGATTCCATCACAAAGGATGGGCAGGTCATGGCGGTGGAGACACCGGGACATGTCCCGGGACACATCTCTGTTATTGTCAAAGATGGGAGCGGAGGCCCAGATACTCCCGACACGTACTTCATCACGGGCGACGCGACGTACAGTCTGGAGCTGCTGGAAAGGGGAGAGCCCGATGGTATTAACCAGGACCCGATGACTGCGTTTGAAAGCCTGCAGCTTATCAAGAAGTTCTCTGAGCAACAAAAGGTCGTTGTTCTCCCCAGTCACGATGTGAATACGTCCATTATTTTGGACGAGAAGAGGCAATATCGGGCAAAGCAGTGACATCAACATTACTTGAGACTGAGAGGCGAGAAAAGCAACTAGTTAATCCAAAGTAATTTCAAATCTTATCTGGTTCGTCGAGGTACCATGTGGCGTCTTCGTTTCCGAGCTCCTTGGTTGAGAACCCGTTCCCCAAGAACTGAAACCGATTTTGCTTATTGACCCGGGTATACTCCCAGTCTTCACCCCTGAAGTTCTCCAGCATGTGGAAGAAGTGAATGCGGCTGCCCGGATGTAGAGCTGTCACAGGCCCGTCTATAGTCCCGCCTTTAAACCAAGAAATGCAGTTTCCAGACCAAGCAGTACGAGGCATGAATGTCTGAGTATGCTCAAAGAGCTCATCAACAGCAGAATGTTGCGGGGCTATGGCACTGATACCCTCCGTCTGACACTTCTTGATGATGCGTACGAGATACTTGGCTATGTGTTCAGTGATGGTGAAGACACTGCCATGCCCAATAGGAGCGTTGGGGCCAAGGAACACTATGTACCATTAGTCCAATGAACGGATGGAAGGCCAGAAAAATTACGTGACGTACTGAAGTAATTAGGGAAGTCAGGGACTGCGCAAGACATGTACGATTTGGGAATCCCTTCCGTCCAAAGGTCCTGCAGATTGCCTCGCCTTCCGAGGATCGGGAATCGAGGGCGGAAAGAGACATCAAACCCCGTGGCACAAATGATTGCGTCCACTTCAATCAACTCACCCGTCTCGGTCCGCAGACCTTTGGCCTCAATGCTGGCAATCGGATCCGTGACCACCCTCACGTTGGGCTTTCGGAGAGCCCACAGGTAGTCCACCGCAGGCGTAAGCCGTCGACATCCGAGAGGAAACTTGGGTATGATGGCATTGCACAATCGCTCGTCGCCACCCAGCGCCTCCTTCATGTACTCGGTTGCTTTCTCCTGTACACTGGCTGCAAAATCGGTGTCTTTGAGGGTCTTGTTGCGTGTCAACTATGCGCCTAGGGTGGAATGCGAAAGTGCCTGACTTACAATGGGAAAGTTTCCATTCACGACTTCTTCGACTGCCTTGACAAACTTCTGATAAAAGATTGGATCTGTCTTGAAACGCTCGATTTGAGCCGCGGTGAAGTCTGCGTTTTCTCTCATGCCAACCTCGCCAAGGATCCCGCCAGCAGCGCCCTGGGCTAGGAGCTGGAGACGCCCGGGAACAACCCAGGTGGGTTCTCTCACAAAGTGTACCAGCTTCTTCACGTCTGCGACCGGTGTCAGTCAAATTTTGGCTGCATGCTTGAGTGGTATGATTTACCTGGCTGTATTTCCGGCAAGATCTGGACTCCCGAAGAGCCGTTGCCAATGACGGCGACTGTGAGACCGTTGTGCTGGAAGCCGGATGGCCAGTTGGCACTGTGAATAAGGTGACCTTTAAACTTCTGCAGTCCCGGGATTTTGGGCCATTTCCAATGACTGCAGTAATCCTTGTCAGTAGTATGAATATTCAATGATAGTTGGCTTACTTGAGAATCCCCGAAGAGTCCAACAGAAAGTGACAAGTGTCATCGAATTCGGAGTTGTCTTCCAGATTAAGAATCTTCAGCTTCCAAACACAGTTGCTTTCATCCCATTCAGCTCTGTTAACCTGGTGCCTCAATTTTATTGCTCCTCTCATGCCCTCTTCTTCGCAGACTCGACAGAGATAAGCTTGGATGTCTGTTGCTGTCGAGAAGAAGCCGGCCCACTCTGGATTTGGACGCCAGGAGAACTGGTAGTTGTGCGACGGAACGTCACACTTGCAGCCCGGGTATCGGTTCTCGAACCAGGTGCCTCCTATCTCTGGGTTCTTCTCATAGACCACATGTTCAAAGTCGGTCAAGTGGAGACGTAGAGTCCGTATCATGTTGAGCCCACTCATACCGGCCCCGATGGTGACAATCCGGACATGTCTTGTGGTCCCCAGCGGCTGTTCTGAGACCTGGTAGGGTGCCGTATTGGCGCCATTTGGAGTTTCTGAAAAATGGCCCGCAAGCTGTCGCACTCTGGCAGACATGATGGGGATGGATGATTAGATTTTGGCCATGACTCATTTCACGCCTTTGACCGAAGAATGCAAGTATATAAACAAACTACTCCAGCAACATGCGACTGTTCAGAAAAATTCCCGTGCGATCAATTGTGAACTGCTCCCGTGTTTGTCCCTACACCCGTCCCCGAAACACAGGTTTGCACTTTGCCGACAGCCGGAGGCAACACATGGGTATCAGGCTATTCGACGACCAGTAATGGACACAACGATGAATTCTTCAGTGATCAGCATCGTCAAGTCTCTTCGGAACCGCCGGAGTTTACCAAGTCGGCCGAGTCCGTCATGTCAAGGTTGACGCCAGTGCCGAATGCCGAATGCCGACCGCTTCTTCCACTGGGGCGGGAGTGCCCGTCAAGCATTTCCAGAGGTCAGAGTGCCCTGCGTCATGTTTGTAGCGTGCTAGGGCTTGTCCCCCTCAGGCGAGGTTTCCGAGGTTTCCAGTGTTCCCCCAGCAGCTAAGCCTCGGTTCCCCGCAGCCTGACAGTGGACTCAGTTTGCTTTATTTGTTACGATGTTTCCAGGGATCCAGTAGAGACTTCTTCAAGTCTTTCTTCGGCACGTAGAATGGTTCAGTCTCGGCCCCTGAGAGACCGCGCGAATGTGGTCTGCGTGGATTGCCATGCCCGAAAGGTCTGACACTCCCGAAGACAGCCCATGCTTCTTCGTCAGTTGACGCTCTTCTAGGTCAAATGCGACCTGCAGGACAGGGCGGATAAGGTCTGCACCAATTGCCGCCGGCTCAACCACGACTGCATGTAGGTAGTCTCACCTCTGGTGCTGTACCTGCTCACTGA